ACAGATGACAGACCCCCCTCCCCCTTTGTGAAGAAGGGCCTGTGGCAAAGACAATGGTCAGGTAGGGACCCCTGCCAACAGGCAAAGACAGTAGGCAGGACACGGACACTTGAGTTTCAGATATGATGCAATGTCGACCAGGACCAGCAGGGGGAGCTGTGGGCCTGTGTCTGAGACACATGCTGAGGCCACAGGTGTGAAGCCAGCACCTGGTTCCTTAGCTCCTGCCATGTGCTCAGTGCTCCCTGGGGCCCAGTGGATCCTTCCTCCCAAGTCCCTGGGAACCTACACATCAGAAGTTCACCAGCCTCACACCCTCCACAAACAAACACCAAGGCAGAGGGGCCAAGTCATGTCTCAGGGAGGGACTGGGAAAGTGAGAGGGGTGGAAAATCATTTTAATGAAGGGCTCATGCTTCTATCAGAGTGAGGGAAGGGATAAGAAAGTTTGGGGCTTCTCTGTCTTAGCAGATGGTCTCAGGAAGCAGATGCCTGGGGCATCTCTACCATGGCCTGGCCCCTTTCCTCCTCACCCTCATCCCTCACTGCACAGATGTCAGGGGAGCCACTGGGAGGAAACATGGCTCTTTCTTTCTCTCTGGGTGCCCATCCTGGCTGGTGTGTTGGGTCATAGGCTTTCTATCTCTGTGACTCAGTGTACTTTCAGGGTCTTGGACATGGTCTTTGCTGACCCAGCCATCCTCAGTATTGGAGAAGGCCTTTGGGCCAGGAGGTCACCATCTCCTGCTCTGGGAGTAACTTTGGATCCTATATGTGTTGTTACCAACTCTTACTGGTGCTTCCCCCCAAATTCAAAATTTTTGGCACCACTAGCCCCTTTGAGATCAATTTTCTGGCTCCAAGCCAGGCATCATGTCTTTTCTGACCACCACCTCTGGATGCTGGCCTGAGGACAAGTCTGATTATTACTGTCACACATATGGCAGAGCCATCAATGTATACACAGTGTTATTTGTCCATGAGGGAGTGAGACATAAGCCAAACTCTTTGTCTCCTGATCAGACCCAACACTCCCCTGTGATAATCGACACCTCTGTCATTAGCAACTGAGGGTCAGTGGACCTCCCCTGGGTCTGTTGATCTGAGAATGTCCCATCCCTTGATCCTATCCTAGCTTTAGGCCAAGCCATTCCTAAAGACACATGCTGTGCCGCATCACATCCACAGAAGCATGAATTTCTTGTCCAGGGCACAGAATCTCTCCTGAAAGACAATGATGATGCTTTTCTGAAGAGCAGGCTGGAAGGAAGGAAGGAAGGAAGGAAGGAAGGAAGGAAGGAAGGAAGGAAGGAAGGAAGGAAGGAAGGGGGAGAGGGAGAGGGAGGAGGAAGGGAGGAGGAAAGAAAGAAAGAAAGAAAGAAAGAAAGAAAGAAAGAAAGAAAGAAAGAAAGAAAGAAAGAAAGAAAGAAAGAAAGAAAATTGTGCAAACAGAGGGAAGCTGATTGTAGTCATGAAAGAAAATAAGAAGGACTTCAGGACTACACTTGAGCTAGACACAATAGACTCAGAACTCACAGGACCTTTCAGCTCAATTCCTGTAAAAATGACCCAGGTTTACCCAAGTATCTGCCCTCGTCCACAACTCTCTCTTTTTCTACTGACTCCTAAATCCCCAGCAGAAACACCTGCCTGGGAATATGGCCTTGGGATGGCTGGAGGCCTACCTATTTCACCTTTTCTATGCTAAGACGTACAGCACAGATAATGTATATTAACTAAAATTTCATTAAATATCTTGGTCATGATATGACAAAGTAAGTGTAAGGCTTTATCAGAAAAATAAATACAATGTTGAAGAATATCAAAGGCCAATACAAAATGAGATATATACCATGTTCATGGATTGTATGAATCAACATTATAAAGATGACAGTGTTTTAGGATGAATCTCTCAATTTAATGCAAGTGTTTTAAAACACCAGTAATATATTATAAACACATCCAAGTAAAAAAATTAAATTAAAATTTAAAATTAAAGTTAAAATTTATATGTAAAAAATAAGGTAAAATAGCTAGGAGGATTTGCAATAATAACAATAATAGAGAAGGGATACCAGATACTAAGATATTTTACACAGTAGTATTAATTAAAACCATGCATAAATGGGATGAATGGATTTTTGTCACTATATGATTCTCTTCAAAAATCAGAGTAGGTAGAATTGATATTTTTATATGATTTTGGAAACATAGCTCACTCCATTGATCAAAATAAGTGGCATTTTTATTTCACATTATTAAAAATCAAAATCCAAACAGATTAAAAATTGAAATAAGAATAGCAAAAGTATAAAGGTTGTAGTTTGCATAGAGGTAAATATTTTTTATCTCAAGTGGGAAGTTGTTTCTTAAATAAACCTTCAAAGCACTAATCGTAAGGGGAAAATTGAAAGTAATTGGCTGCAATTATTGAAAGATTTTTGTTGAAAGAGTCATAAAATAGGTGAAATCTCAGGAGGATATGAAACAGTGGGAATGTATCCAAGGACAAAATATTATTTGTAATTCAGAAGAAACTTTACAATGAAAAGAAAAGAAAACTAAAAAATGTTGAAAAAACACAAGTGTGCAATGTACAGGTGAATTGTGAGTGGATAAAAGTCAATGTGTGTCCAATTCCACGAGAAGTAAAGAGAAGGAAACAAAATATTCAAGAAGTTGTGGACTTAGCCAAGCACGTCTGTGTGGGAGAGTTGTCCAGAAAAAGCAAACATCAAAGAGTTTGGGGCAGGAGCATGGCTGAGGAGCAGTAAGCCTTGAATAGGAGAAAAAGACACAGAGAGAGAGAGTGTCTTTAGAGTGTTAAAGACAGGGTAAGGAACCTGCCAGGGGAGGGAAGGAGGTAGATAATGTGGGTTCATAACTGTGGACATAATTCTAAGTGAAGCATGAAGATTGAGAGTGTAGACCAGCAAAATAATATTGAAAAACTTAAAAGTAAGATATAATAAAATGCCAGTGAGAATGTGCGAAATCACAAACTGTCAAGGCTGGGTGAATAAACACACTCAGCCATCTGGAGGCAACTTCCTCAGCGCACAAAGAAAATGAACGTGTTTGCAAGTGTCATGCAGATGTCCACCCTGTGCAGAGATGCTGGAACTGTTTATGAGAAAGTCCTTACTATGAGCAAGGTATTGGAAGCAAGCTAGTTGTCCGACATTGGGGGATTTATAACCAACACATAGAAGATGGAATGCTAACCAGTTGGAAATAATAAAATAATTTCACATACAATATGGATAAAATTCAAAGTATAATTATCAATTTAATAAGAAAAAAAACCAACCTCACCGAATAAAAAAGCAAAAGTCCTAAAGAAAAAAGCAAGTTGTTTATTTTAAAACATGAACACACATTATGAAATTTACAAGATTATATAATGGGCAACTTGGAAAGTAAACAGGAATATTATTATTTACACTTGAGTGGGAGGGTCTCAAATGAAGAGACATAATGGTTCTAAAAAGAAGATAATTTAGAACACTAAAGAGGCTTTCCAGAGGCTGATGATGAGAGTGCTAATAAAATAAGCGTGACTAAACTTCAGAAAAATGAACATAAAATATTCTTTATTTTTGGAGCTGTAACAGAGTATCTAAGTAAAGTGATGAAGTATGCTGTGCTCATGCAGCTGAAAGACAAGCTCTGTGTAGCTCTTCTTTAGTGACAAGGCCATCACTTAGCCTGGCACCCCTATACTTAGAATTCCCAGCTGCCCTGCGTCCCTCACCAACATCATGAGCAGTTCAGAAAAGAGGGTCAGGAGAACCAGTGTTCCTCTACCTGGAATGCCCGGGTGTGTCGGAGAGGCAGGTAGTGTTTGGAGTCTGAGGGCAGTGAGGGGCAGTGGGGGGACACTCCTGAGATGGCCCCTCCCAGCTAGGAACCCTCTCGGAGGCCTCCAGGGCAGTCCAGCCATCAGTGTGTTCACCACACTAGGCTTCGGCTGCGACATTGAATGACCTGCCGGGATGCAGGGGTCATCATGAGTCTGGCCACCTCCACGCAGAGGTTCAGCTCATCTCCTCCTTCTCTTTGTCCTTCTGACATGTGAGTTTCCAGGCAGGTGGCCCAGCAACAGACAGATAAGGGCTTATTTGAATGCAGTGACTCCACCCCCATGAGGACTAAGGGAGGTTTAAGGAGGATTAGTAGAGCTCAGTCTCCAAATCTGAGATTCAGGAAGCAGAGTGTGAATCGCAGCATGACCTGGGCTCCTCTCCTCCTCACCCTTCTCACTGGCTACACAGGTGAGGGTGCACCATATGGGGGGTAAGGGGGAGTAAAGGATCCCCCCAACTCTGCTCCCCACTCCTCACTCTCACTCACAGTGGGCTGTGATCCTGATTTCAATGTCCTCTCTGTCCCCCTTACAGTGTCTGTGGCCCAGGCCGGGCTGACTCAGCCACCATCAATGTCCCAGGGCTTGGGACAGACAGTCACACTCACTTGCATTGGGGATGGCAACAATGTCGGCCACCAGGGAGCAGTTTGGCTGCAGCAGCATCCCGGTCAAGCCCCCAAATTCCTGATGCACAGGAACAACAATCGGCCCTCAGGGACCTCAGAGAGAGTCACTGGGTCCAGGTTGGGGAACACAGCCTCCCTGACCATCTCTGGGCTCCGACCTGAGGACGAGGCTGGCTACTGCTGTGCAGCATGGGACAGAAGCCTCACGGGTTGCACAGTGCTTCAGGTCAGTGGGGAAGTGAGACATAACTCATGAGCTCCCCTGGCCTCACCCAGCACGTGGGGACCAAATAGGGCATTTTCCCAAACTAGACTTGAGAAAAGACAAGGGCTGGTTCCAAGTTATAATAGTGTTTAATATTCAGGACAATTAAAAATAATGCCATGCCTGCGCTTTTGTTCCACCGGCGGCCGGGCTCCCGCGGCGCCGCCAGAGCTAATACTGTCACATTTGAAGATGGGGACTGAGGATGAGGAACCAACCGAAAAGTCTGAAAATGTGGGAAATGCAGAATGTAAGTGGCCAAAAACGGAAAGTCTTCACAAGGATCCTGTACAGGAATCTAAGGTTGGTGAAACATGTGATTGGGATAGCAAAATAGAGAGTCAATGGGAAAAGCCGGCAGGAAAAAGGATGAAGGAAGACAATAGTGGCATAAGGGAGATAGTTGGCAAGGCCAAGAACATGGCAAAGGATCCACACGGGGGAGAAACACTACGAATGCGACATTTGTGGGAAAACCTTCAGTAACAGCTCTGGCCTCAGGGTCCACAAAAGGATCCACACTGGTGAGAAGCCCTGTGAATGTGATGAGTGTGGAAAGGCCTTCATTACTTGCAGAACACTTCTCAACCATTAAAGCATCCACTTTGGAGATAAGCCCTATAAATGTGATGAGCGTGAGAAATCTTTAATTATAGCTCTCTTCTCATTCAGCATAAAGTCATCCACACTGGAGAGAAACCTTATGAATGCGATGAGTGTGGCAAGGCTTTCAGGAACAGCTCAGGCCTCGTAGTGCATAAAAGGATCCACACAGGAGAGAAATCTTACAGGTGTGATGTCTGTGGCAAAGCATTCAGCTATAGCTCAGGCCTTGCAGTCCATAAAAGTATTCACCCTGGGAAGAAAGCCCATGAATGTAAGGAGTGTGGAAAATCTTTTAGTTATAACTCACTCCTTCTTCAACATAAAATGATTCACACTGGAGAGAGACCTTATGTATGTGACATATGTGGGAAAACTTTCAGAAACAATGCAGGCCTCAAAGTCTACAGGAGGCTCCATACTGGGGAAAAACCATATAAGTGTGATGTGTGTGGGAAAGCCTATAGCTCACGCTCTAGCCTTAAAAATCACAAAGGAATCCATCTTGGGGAGAAGCCCTATTAATGTAGCTATTGTGAAAAATCCTTCAACTATAGCTCTGCTCTTGAACAGCATAAAAGAATTCATACAAGGGAAAAATCCCTTGGATGTGATGAGCGTGGAAAAGCTTTCAGAAATAATTCTGGCCTTAAAGTACATAAACGAATCCACACTGGGGAGAGACCTTACAAATGTGAAGAATGTGGGAAAGCCTACATCTATCTCACTCTCAAGCCTTATAAACCATAAAAGTGTACACCCTGGGGAGAAACCCTTTAAGTGTGATGAGTGTGAGAAAGCCTTCATCACATACCGAGCCCTTATAAACCACAGAAGAGTTCATCTTGGGGAGAAGCCCTACCAACGTGATGTGTGTGAGAAATCTTTTAATTACACCTCACTCCTTTCTCAACACAAAAGAGTCCACACTAGAGAGAAACCCTATGAATGTGACAGGTGTGAGAAGGTCTTCAGAAACAACTCAAGCCTTAAAGTTCATAAAAGAATCCATAAAAGAAGCCCCATGAATGTGATGTTTGTGGAAAAGCCTACATCTCACACTCAAGCCTTATTAATCATAAAAGTACTCACCCTGGCAAGACACCCTACACATGTAATGAATGTGGAAAAGCTTTCTTCTCAAGCAGAACTCTTATAAGCCATAAAAGAGTCCATCTTGGGGAGAAACCTTTCAAGAGTGTCGAATGTGGGAAGTCTTTCAGTTACAGCTGTCTCCTTTCACGTCACAAGAGGATCCACTCGGGGGAGAAACCCTATGTATGTGATAGGTGTGGAAAGGCATTCAGGAACAGCTCAGGCCCCACCGTGCATAAAAGGATCCACACAGGTGAGAAACCCTATCAATGCGATTTGTGTGGGAAGGTGTATATCTTACATTCAAGTCTTATCAACCATAAAAGTGTCCACCGTGGGAAGCAGCCCTATAATTGTGAGTGTGGGAAATCCTTCAATTATAGATCAGTCCTTGATCAACATAAAAGGATCCACACTGGAAAGAAGCCATACGGATGTAATGTGTGTGGTAAGGCCTTTAATATCAGATCAAACCTCACCAAGTATAAAAGAACACATACTGGAGAGGAATTTCTAAATGTGACAAATGTGGGAAGTCATAATGGCACATCCCAGAGGAGAACCTACGAGGAGGGAGGGAATGCTCTGGATGGGACCAGGATGAGGATGCCTCTGTAGCAGGTGGGGTTTACTGAGTCTCAAGGATTGCAAGTAGAAGAAAAACCTTACGAATGTAAGAGTGTCTGAGGTCCTGCCTTGTTCATGGGTTATACTTTACATAGTATAAATCACTGTAAAGGATCTGGAGTAATTTTTTCTATGTGATTTTTCAGTCATAGCAAGGAAGGCTCCAGTGTCAAGGTACTTTAGCCCTTATAGAATATAAAATACTCCATACTGGGGATAAAACCTATCGAAGGGATGGAATATGAAAAAAAATCTTCAAAATAAGCAGACATTTCTGGACATAAAAGAAAACACAATTGAGGAAAGGACTTCAATTAGAAGTCACATAGTCATGATCAGAAAGTTCATATTTGGATGAATTCTGTGAATAAAAATGTGAGAAATTCAGGTACACCTTTGAATCCCAATAATACATTAGTTAGTGTGGAAAAAAAATCTAAAAAGGGCCTCCAACAGACAAATTCAGGAAGAGATAGGCTTCAGGGAATATAAATTTATTTAATAATAGTGATCTTGAAGTATAAACTTGATATAATTGAACGGCTTGAGGGGGGCAGTGATGATTTCTGAAACAAAATCTGGATTTCCTTGTAGGAAAAACAGAAAGCAGACTGTTATAAATGTAACAGAGATAGGAGAGAGTCACTCATAGAAAAGGCAAACTGATTGGAATGTACTAGTGTGATATGCTAGTTGAATGGATGGAACTTTTTTTTTTAAGTTTCAAATCAGCCCCCTCAGTGAATGATGGATGTGTGATGAGTGAGAACCTGAAAGGTGGTATTCACACATTTATGCTACAATAAAGGGTTCTACCTTGGAGAGGATCTTGACACAATCCATAACCAGTGGGACACATCTTCAGCGTGAACTTGCACCTTATATGACAATTGATTCAGGGATTCCTATGATAGGAATGTTGGGAAGGAGGGCATTTTATTCTAGGAGCTAAAAAGCTAAGTAGCTACCAGTAATTCAAGAGAGGAGGAAATTCATGTTTCTTAATAATCTTGTTAAATGTTTGATTGTTTTGGAATATGTTATTGTAAAGATTTCTTGTAGTATATGTGTAAATTGTCTGTTGTAAAATGTTATGAATGCTTTGTTTAGGGCTCACTCTCTTTGCTATGAAGGCCAGATAGTTGTGGTGTGAAGTAAGGTGGAATTCCAATAAAGACATTCCTTAAATGAAAAAAAAATAATACCATGCATTAAAATAACTGAACCTGTCTTATCAGCAGACCTGTGTAGGCAGCATCGCTGTGGCTATGCACATATATAAACATACACATGCACTAGTATTTGGTATAAAGAAATACAGGGATTAACTATGTAATTATTTATTTTCTCAGATTCTTCTTTTCTATTCCATTTGGAGGTGCTAGACTCAGTGCTCAGATGGTCCATCTCTCTGTCCTTGAGAATCCCTTCAAAAGGGTCACCAGCAGCCACCTTCCTTCCTGTGGCCTGGGCACATGTCCTGACCTCTCGTTAAAACACCCTGACCCCTCTGTCCTGAGGATCCCTGACGCATCCTATAGACCCAAACTTGAACATCACACTCGGTCGAGGCTTCTTCGGCCCCACTCCTCTGTCTACACCCATCCTCTATACAGGACAACGTCCCCACATGTGTGTTCTTGTGCCCTTTCACTGCCCTCTGACACACCACGAGCAGTGTGTGGGAACAGCAGGCAAGGTAGGAGCTTTGGGGTGTAGCTGAGAATAATTTGACATTTTGCAAAGAAAGAATAAGTCATGGCTAGTTCAAGGATGGCTTTCCATAGAGATGGAAATCAAAGTGTGGACTCATCAGGGTTCCAACGATGGATGCACAGAGGCCCCTTCTCTCTCCACTTTCTTGGGTTGTGACACCAGGAGAAACTACTGTGTGGGAAAGAACACTGTCCCACACACTTAGAGCTGTCACAGTGGCTGCAGGCGGTGAGCCCTGTGGCCAGCAGGGGGCGCTGTGTGAAGCCCTGGGAGGCAGGTGCTGAGCAGACAGCTGGTTAACCACTCAGCTGGCTCTTGGGAAATTGACCAAATGGTGTCCCCACTGGCTTGTGACTTTCCTCCTCTGTGAGACCCCCATTACCCCATTTGCTCTTGAATCTGACTCTCCCATTCCATTGTTTCAGATAGGAGACATCACTTCTTTATCCTCTTTGATGGCTTTGCCCACATCTGGTCCAGGAAGTGCTTGTAGATGGTGAGGACCCAGGACATACGTGGATGGAGCAATTGTGCTCCTATGATAGCTTGGCCAGGCAATGAGACACAGCTGGGATCATTATTCCTGCGGTGGAGATTGTGGAGACAGAGCTCTGAGGCATCTCCACCATGCCTTGGAGTCTTCCTCCCTGGGTCCTTTATAAAAGGGACATTTGCCAGGGGGTTAGGGGAAGGGGCCCTCAAGCTCACAGAGGACCTGGCTTCTCACTCTGGCTGAAAAGGCACAGGTATGCCATGACTGCAGACTCGCAGCCCTCGGTCTCAGTGTATTGATCATTGGTCAGAGCTTACCACTGTCTGTAACGGATGCTTCAGAAATGTGGGTGTCTTTGGTGCAGTCCGGCACCAACAGCCCCCGTCCTGAACCTCTGTGAAGGTGATGACGGCAGTTCCCTGGGCTGCACCCTGAGCAGGAGGCTGATCATCCTTGCAGACTTGGATGACAGTCTCAGAGGTGACGCTGTGCTCTTGGCCCCAGGAAATTCCCTAAGACCTGTCCTCTGTTGCCTTAGTCTGGCACTTTGCTCCCCTCTCACTACCTGTCACCAACTCTAGCTCATTGGAAAGATATCTGTCATTTCTGAAACAAAAACCTGGTTGTCTAAGGTCGTACATTCACTTGGCTCTTTAACACTGTCTATTCTACTGTTCTTAAAGCTTAGACCTAACCATTGATTTATCTTGTTTAATTTTATCATCTAAGAGTTTAAGCATAATGTTGAATTATGAAGGAGGTAACAGGAAGGAGCTACCTTGCCATTTTGCTGATCTAAGTGTAAATGTTCCCCATGAAGTGAGAAGCTGGCTTTAGGTCTAACGTGCACGCGCGTGTGTATTACCGTATATGAACAGATTTTTTTCTGTTTCTCTACTCTTAGCTGCTTTTTATCATTAGGAATAGTTGTTAAAATTGGACAAAGATTTTTGGAAAATCCATTGACTCAATATGATATTATGTTGTGATATAATAGCATGGTGTATTCTATTCAAGACTTTATTAATATTGAGCACAACCTACATTTCAGAAATAAATTCCACTTGACAATGATGTATCGATTTATAAATCTGGTGTTGAATTCAGCTAATTAATATTTAATTTTAAAATTTTGCATTGATATGTGTAAGTACTTATTTTTAGTGCAGTTTTAGGTTCACACCAAAATAAAAAGATACAGAGAAACCCCACTGCCTCCCCCTTATATACAGGCCCCATGAGAAAGGTCCATTTGTGGTACATGATGAACCCACATTGAAAAGTCATTATCACCACAAATCAATAGCTTACTTCTAAGATTACTCTTGGAGTTGTACATTCTATGGGCGTGGACAAAGTTATAATGACATATATCAACCATTATAGTCTCATAAAGCATATTTTTACTTCCCTAAAAATCTTCTATCTACTCACCCCTACCTCTCCCCTAACCCAAGACAATGAATGCCTTTTTTTTTTTTTTTTTTTTTTTTTGAGACAGAGTCTCACTCTGTGGCCCGGGCTAGAGTGCTGTGGCATCAGTCTAGCTCACAGCAACCTCAAATTCCTGGGCTCAAGCAATCCTTCTGCCTCAGCCTCCCAAGTAGCTGGGACTGCAGGCATGTGCCACCATGCCTCGCTAATTTTTTCTATATATACTTTTAGATGGCTAATTAATTTCTTTCTATTTATAGTACAGATGGGGTCTCAGTCTTGCTCAGGCTGGTCCTGAACTCCTGACCTTAAGCCTCCCAGAGTGCTAGGATTACAGGCGTGAGCCGCTGCGCCCCCCCTCCTTTTTTTCATTTCTGGAAGGTAATATAATTAGAGTCATACATTAGTATGCAATATAGAGGATACAGATTGGCTTCTTTAACTTAGTAATATTCATCTAAGGTTATCCCCATCTCTTTTGATGGCTTGATAGTTTTTGTGTCCAAAAAAATGTGGAATATATAAATATGAAGTATATGGGAGCTGGTCACAGCCCTGGACACACAGGATTTCCAATCACTGTTTATTGTATGACAGTGACCACGTGAGATGACAGAAAGCCCTAGATCCCTTGAGAAGAGAGAAGATTGACTGTGGATGGCAGGGGACACCATGCACTGCACTGCGGCTCCCATGCAGGGTTCTCGAGGGGGTGTGCTCTAGAGCCGGCAAGCCTGGCTGTGGTGGGGACTCGGGGCAGGGCCCTCCTTGTCCTGGAAGAGCACCTGCTCACAGGCCTGGGGTCTGTCCCAGCAGCTGCTTCCTCCTACTCTTCCTCCATGGGACAGGCAGAGTCTCCCTTCCCTTCAGCCTCCCCATCACAAGACTCTCAACTCACAATGCTTATTTAGTGCCCAGGGAGAGGAGGGGCAGACAGCACTTGGGGCCACATCTGCATGTGCAGCTTCTCCTGTGCAAGGCCCATATGGAGGGAATGAGGATAACATGTCCCACGGGGACCATAGGGGGCTGTGCCCACCATGGCCTGGACCTCTGTCCTGCTCGAGCTCCTCAATCACTGCACAGGTGAGACCAGGCCTCAGGTGTTCAGGTGTAGGTCCTTAGCTTGTGTCAGCTCCTCTGGTTCAGACCACCAAGACGCTTGATCTTGGTCTGTGCCCTGTCATCCATGAATGTCCGTGTTTGCAGTTTCCCTGTCCCAGCCTGTGCTGACCCAGCCGCCCTCCTTCTCTGCATCTCCTGGAGCATCAGCCAGACTCACTTGCATCCTGAGCAGTGGCTTCTGTGTTGGTGATTATCAGATATACTGAAACCAGAAGAAGCCAGGGAGCCCTCCCTGGTACCTCCTGAGCTAAA